CTCTCTCTCTCTCTCTCTCTGTGTGTGTGTGTGTGTGTGTGTGTGTGTGTGTGTGTGTGTGTGTGTGTGTGTGTGTGTGTGTGCGTGCGTGTGTGCGTGCGTGCGTGTGGGACATCGGTTTTTCGCTTTGGTGATTCTTTCTGTTTTCGAAGGAGGAGCGATGATTCATTTGTTGTAACGGTGTGACCAGCCGAGAGGAGGAGAGATGAGGAAGGAGAAGGAGGAGGAGGAGGAGGAGAAATTTGAGGAGGGGAAAGGAAGTCAAGGATGAAGGAAAAGGAGGAGAAGGCCTAGGACAAGGAGGAGAGGGAAGTGGAAGAGGGAGACAGGGAGACAGTGAGGAGAAGGGGGAGACCACGAGGAAGGGGACAAGGAGGAGCGGATGGTGTCATGGTTTGGGAGGGAGGAGAGGTAGGACAGAGAAGCCAGATGAGGAGGAGGAACGAGGTCAAGGATGGGGAAGGCCTATGTATGAGGGTGAAGAAGGAAGAGGAGGAGGAGGAAGACGAGGATTAAGCGGAAGGGAGGAAAGGAGGAAGAGGGAGAAGGGAGGAGGAAGAAGGAGAAGGAGAAGGAAGGAGAGGAGGAAGAGGAGGAAGTAGAAGAAGGCGCCATAGCCACCACTATTGTCGCCTGCCCATGGATGTGAAGCGCATCTCTCAGCTGTGCCATCAGCTCTTGGGAAGGCAATAAGCTACGAGAAAGGATGGCGTTGGACAGGAGGGCAAACAACGGAGGATGGACATTGCATACCTCAGCCACCCTCCTCCTCTCCTCGAGTGTGTACATACGCCCCTGTTGACCTCTCTCCGACTGTGAGCGTCGATTCTGGCCCTTCCTTTGGGGGCAGGTTTCAGTATCTCTGTACGTGTAGGCAAGAATGACGGTCACCTCAACATCCGCTGTGAGACCCTGCTCAGTCTGCTGTCCCAGAGTTATCATTTTGCCAGCAGACACTTTCGACTGAATCTCATCGAGATTGCAGTCATATACAGGGAGTCCTCTCTCTCTCTCTCTCTCTCTCTCTCTCTCTCTCTCTCTCTCTCTCTCTC